CTCCAGCGGGTACCGGGCCCGCGGTGGGTCTTCTCCATCCAGATGTAGCAGTTGTTCTGGGCCACACCGGTCTGAGAGTCGAGGAAGGGCAGGCGCAGGCTGCGCTCGGCGCACAGGCGCGCGTTGTAGCTGCGACAGTGCTCGATGGCCTCACGGTAGAAGTCCTCGCCTAGGCTGTGAGGGGTGGTGAGCGGGTGGGCGGCTGTCAGCAAGGGCAGGCGAGCCCGGGAGCCCCGCATCCCTCCCCCAGCCCGCCCTTCGGAAACGGGTGGGCAGACTCCTCCAACCTCACCTCTCCCCTCCTGTCGCTCCTGGACTCAGGAGCCCCCAGCCTGGGACTCAAGCAGGCCTCTAGCCAAGGAGTAGATATACACAATATAGAAACAAACAAAAATACACCAGGCCCCATCCATACGTGCACATATCCACACACACAACACAAACGAATCACACATAGTCACACCAATTCACACACAAAGAGAGACATATCCCAAGACTCACAAAGGAGAAACAAATTTCACACATGTGCACATATCTACTGAAAAACATATCCCAAGTCACACAGTGTAGAAACAGATCACACATATATCTATACACAAGTATGCATCACATATCCAAAGACACATAACATAAACAAATCACCCACACAAAGACACACAACGTGCAGACAGACAGATCAGACACACCACAGCCCACATGCACACACAAGCATTCAAACACAAACGTTAAAAGAAGGAATGTTAAAGCCAACTACCCACATATGCACTTACACACATGTCCAAAGATACAACACAAATCACACACACACACTATACAAAGAAATCATACAGATTCACCCAGGATACACACACATTCACAAAGATGTACAGTATAGAAACCAAGATCTAAAACCACATATTCGAACACACAAAGACTCACGTATATACAACATAAGATATATCTACCCATATTCACACACAAATCTACACATAGATACATGCATACCTACATATCCAAAGACACAGAACACAAATGATGCACAGTTTCAAAGGACATGTACACACACTCCGAGACCCAAATACCCAAAGATCCCTAGTGTAGAATAAAAGAAATGAAACACATCTCCACACACAGATCCCCCCCAAAAACACAACACAGACAAGTGACACACACTCCGCGTCCCAAGACAAAGATGATGTGGGCTTCCCTCAAGTTGACCAGGGCCCCGGCACCCCACGTCCGTTTCACCCTCTCCCCTACCCGGGGGTCGCAGGGCGGGACATGACCCCTGCCCCGAAGCGGACTCCGAGTTCCCCACACCCTCCGCTTTTCCAGGAGCAGAGCGTCGGACCCGGTTCTTGCCAGAAACCCATAGTCAGCCACTCGCACCCCGGGCCCACGGTGACAGCCCCCCAGACACCCCCTC